AGTTATATTTTTAGCAATTTGAACTTATGCAGATAGATATAAGAGAAATAAGTCCTCTGGAACCATGATTTCCAAACTATGTGCTGGGGTACTCCTACACACCGCAGTGACTAAGAAAGGCTTTGTTATTTTAATTTTTTGAGGAAAATCTAGTAATACTTATTATTTATTGGTTACCAAATGAAATACTAGCTTGATGTGGTTCGGAGTTTCAACATTAAATTGTGCTATATTCCTTCTGATGTCATCCTATCTTCGTAAAGCTGGGTTCTTGGTGGTTGTGGTATAGAAAGTTGTACAATGCACACATCCAGGTGCAACAGGGGGTGGTTTCCAACCTGATTCCCACGTGAGGTCCGTGCAGAGCCCAACAGATGCAGACATCCCATTAGTAAGTAATTGTGGTTAAGAATGACATGAAAATATTTTTAAATTCTAATTTATTTGTAATATATTTTTTTAAATGGCTACCAAGTTTTTAGGATACAAATATTTATAAAGTTGTTGGACTATACTACTTAATAAATGGAGCTGGTGGGCATTTCTTTTGACCTAGGACTACTGAAAAAATTACCTGGGTGCTGCGAACCAAGGAGGTCTGGGGAACCTCTGTTTTAGGGGTTAATAGAGTTACAAGGCCACTTGTTTTCATGTTAACATAGGTGGTATTTAAAAAATTTTGCCTGTCACAACTGAAAGTTTGAAGCACAAAACTTTCTAACTGACCTCGAAGCTCATAATGGGAAATGTGAGTATGCACCGAACTAATAATCGCAGTGAGAACTGATTTTGTTAATTTTAGTACATTTTCCCTGAAAAGAAAAAGTTTTTACTCTTCAACCAAATGCATTTTCTCCTCCAAGTTTTTTATTTATTTATTTATTCAGCAATAGTCTTTGTAAGGTGTATGTCATTAAAAAAAAAAGCAGTTATTTGCATAATTATGTGCAGAGCAATTTCTGTCTGGGTGCGTTAATTCATTCATTTATTCAGCAGGTATTAATCCATTTCTGGCGGTGTTCAGGTGCTGTTCTGGATGCTGGGCTGCACTCATGAGAAAAGAGTAATATTTATACATTTAGAGACATACAGCTGTGTTAGTATTATTTATGCTATGATTATGTTTTAACGGAAGCAGGAATAAATTTGTACTTTCTAGCTTTATAATCTTATGAGTATTTGTTGGTTGTTATAGTTTATAATGCATGTTGCAGTAATATTTCAGTGAGAATATTCCTGAAACTTGTGTTTTTCCTTTTTCTAACACTTACAGTCTTGATACATTTGTTTTCTATTTTGAAAATTATTTTCATGTTTGAACCTTTGTGAAGTAACCATGTTTTTACAGCAAAAATTAGGCAGTTTTGATTGCCACTTGCCACCTACAAAGTTTTATCAGGTTTCATTATGGGCCTGTATGAAGAGATAAAAATCTGATCCTCTTAAAGAATGTATATTTTAATTTGGTTATTATATTACATTTATAGATTTTTAAATACCCATATATATAGATAGATACACATTGATGCCCTGTATATATCACAGGTCAGCAAACTGTTCCTGGAAAGGGCCAGCTCGTAAATATTTTGGTCCTTTTGGGCCACAGGACTGTGTTGCAGCTACTCCGTGTGGTAGCAGGAGAGCAGCTGTAACGTTATACAAACGGACAGACGTGGCTCTCTGCCAATAAAACTTTACGTATAAAAACAGGCAGTGGGCTGGCTTTGCTGACCCTACTCTATATCTTAAAATATAAAATTTATTATGTGGGAGGGTCCAAATGATTAAAAAATATCTCTTACTTAACCCAACAGTGAGAGTAAGGAGCAAGTGTGTACAGCGCGCAGACACGCAGCCCGCTCCGCAGGAGGGTGGTCTGGGCGGAGCTGGCTGTTGTCCCTAGGGAGGCACCCGCACCCCTGTGGCTGAACTTCTGCCTTGTTGTAACCTGACTGTCAGCAGCTGTTTCCATCTCTAGAATTCTCTGGGTGACCCTGCCTGGAGAGACACTCCGTATCCCCAGGCAGATACTTCTGGTTCGCTGGCGGTTTGTTGAGTCCTGGCCTTGACCCAGCGATCAGTCTTCCATCTGCAGGATGGATGGACAGGGATCTCCTTGTTCTTGTGCAGCTTCTGCCATTGCAGCTGTGGAAGCTTCCCTAGGAATGTGCCGTGTTGATCAAGTCAGGTGCTGCAGGAAGGTAGAACAGGATAAGGACCAATGTCCCTGAAATATCAACTGTGGTCTCTTTGACCTTTGAAATCTTAATAAAAGGGACTTGAACCCTCATATGTCCCTGCAGAAGTCCAAAGCCTTCTCCAAGCTCTGCTGATCCACTGGACACGTGGTTCTCATGGTCGGCTCTGGCTCCAGGCTCTGAATCTCTTGAGTTAGGTCGGTTTGGGGATCACTTTTCATGTTGCCTTTTCACATCATCTGGTGCTACACAGCCTCTTTCTCATGCTGGTTATGGTGTGGAGAACAAATTAGCAAGTGCAAGAACGGATATAGGTAGACCAGACAAGGGGACATCTTTGCAGTATTTCTGGGGAGACCTGATGGTCATTTTTACTAGAATGTAGGAACTATGAGGCTGCACGGTGATGTGTCCCCAGTGCCCGAACAATGCCTGCCACGTGGTAAGTGCTCCATTACCTTTTCCTGAGTTGGGAACCCTGAAGAAGACCAGATATGGGAATGACGATTATTTATTTGTTTCCAGACATGTTGGGTTTGAGGTATTTTTGCAGCATCCATGGAGGGGATGTCAAATGGTTGGATAAAAAGGTTTGGAGCTCAGAGGAAAGGTCTGTGTTTGCCATTTAAAAATGTAAGTCACATGTGCAGGGCTGGCAGTCGATGCCATCTGTGCGGGTGACACTGCGGAGAGAGAGTGGACGTGAGACGGGCTTACAGAGAGAGAAGGAATGACCTGAGAGGTAGAAGAAAGACAAATCAAAGGAAGGAGGTGCTTGAAGAAATGGGAGGAGCTAACTGAGCATCTCTCTGATGATACTGAGCTGTCATTCCATGAGGTCTGGAAAGTGTTATTTGGATATAGCAACATGGCAGTTGCTAGGAATCGCAGCAAAAGCTGTTTGGTGTAGTGACAGAAGTGGGTGCCAAATGGTAGGGGCCACAAGAGTAAACAGTAAGTGAGGAAATTTGGACAATGAATACGAACTCTGGGAGCATTTTGGATAAGAAAGAAGGAGAGAGTTAGGACAGTGGGACATAGGTTTGAGGACAGATTTTAAAAAGCCCACAAAACGTCAGAGAACTAAGCATGGTAAAAAGCTTATGGTAGTGTTCCAGGAGAGAGAGAGAGATGCTGTTAAGCACTAGGAACTGGAAATATGTGCTATCACTTGAAAGAAAGTTTGAGACTCACAGAGATTCAGGAGACAGTTTCACCAAGGTTGTAGTTCAAGCTCTGAAACTGTCAGAGGAGAACATGAGGGAGAGTCTGAACTCCAAGAAAAAACCACGAGGAACCCCTCCGAAGAGTTGCAAATATATCCAAGGAAACCATCAACACTAATTTCAAAGAATACACGCACCCCTATGTTCATTGCAACGTATTTACAGTAGCCAAGATTTGGAAGCAGGCCAAGTGCCCATCAGTAGGGGAGTGGATGAAAAAGCTGTAGTACATTTACACAATGGAATGCTGCTTAGTTGTAAAAAGAATGAAATCTTACCTTTTGCAACAGCATGGATGAACCTGGAGATTATTATGCTAGTGAAATAAGCCAGTCAGAGAAAGACAAGTACCATATGATTTCACTTATATATAGCATCTAATGAACAAAATAAACAAGGTGGAGACAGACTCATGGATACAGAGGATCTACAGCTGTCAGAGGGCGTATGGTTTGGGGGCCTGGGTGAAAAGGGTGAAGGGATTAAGCAAATATAAAAAAAAGAGACTCATGGACACAGGCAACAGTATGGTGATGGCTAGATGGAAGGGGGTGGGGGAGGTAGGAGAGGGTACAGGGGGATAAATGGTGATGGAAGGAGATTTGACTTGGGGTGGTGAACACACAATATACAGATGATGTACTGTAGAATTGTATACCTGAAACCTGTATAATTTTATTAACCAATGTCACTTCAATAAATTTAATTAAACACGTATATATATATAAGAGTTGCTCATAGTGAGTGATTCAAATCACTTTGAATTCCATCTCAGACTCCTATTGAAAAAATCACTGCACAAAGCTAGTCATTTGCAATAAATGAATTTCCAGACATTGTTTCTGGCAAGAGATTGAACTAAGCAAAATGTAAAGTATTTGAAGACGAGAACTTTCTCTGAACCATCACTATTGCACCTCATCATCCTCTCACAAGTGGAGGGGCTGCAGGGCCAGTGCGGACAGCGGAGAAGGCCCTGGGGACCGTCAGTGTTCAACTGGCCAACGGGACAGGATCTTTTTTATTGTTTAACTTGTCATTGCGTACATGGTCAGTAATATTAAAACTTGCTGAATTATTAATGGCTGAAAACTTATTTTATCCAGATTCATGCAGAGTTGGATTAGGACTAATGAGACTAACAAGAGTGAAGTCTGGATAATGTCTTGTCTACACCTACTCACCAGTATCTTATCACTGTACTAGGCAGTCTTTGCTTATAGCTCTGGACCAAGGTCAGTTCTTGCCATAGTTATTTATGGCCCTTTGGAATAACACCAAATTGGCAAATATGTTAGAAAAAAAATCAAGATGCAATATCATGAAAATTCATGAAGTTCTGAAAAACATTCCAGAAACAGATGATTTGCTCTGCTCTGAATGCGGCTGTACCGTTATTTGTTCACTTGTCAGCGTGATTTGGTGACTAAACCTCATTTCATGTCCTAAAGTGCACACAGTAAAATCTCTTAGGAATGCTGCTGCTTTGAATGGATGGCTGCACTTCACAATGTCATGCCATGTAACGAGTCGCTTTGTAATATTCAAACCCTGTTTCATATTTCTTTTACTTTAGGTCTTGGGAGCTGATGAAGGCACCGTGGGTGATGGCTGCTCTGAGCAGCTGACGACAACTAATGTCCTCCGTTTCCTGTTGCTGGTCCTGATTCCCTGCATCTGTGCTCTCATTGTCCTGCTGGTGGTCCTGCTTTTCTTTGTTGGTGAGTGTTGTCATTCTTAAAGGAAAATGAGGTCAATATTAAAATTGGCATGATTTATAAGAGTGACTTCTACTTAGTGCTTATTTAACCTGGGTTATCTGTTGACTATGCAAATCTGCAGTTTTAGCCACTATAATTCCTCTCCTAGTTATTATTATTAATAATAATTAATAGATTAATTAATTCAAAACATTTAAGGAATGATTACTAACCAGCACACCAGCAGAAACTGAAAGTGCCTGAGAATTCACGGATGTTTAAGTTAGTTCTTTCTCAGGAACTCACAGTCGAGAGGAAGAAGTGATTATACACAAGACAACACATGTTGATGATAGAGGTACAGACAAGGAGATTTGGGGGCAGTCAAAAAGGCTTTATGGGGCATTCACATTTTAACCTTCAGAATAAAATTAACAGAAATTCGGGTAGAAGGCAGTAAGTGTGTGGGTCACATTTGGCTGAAAAAAAAGCAAGGGCAAAAGTATAACCATGAAAGATGGAGATGGGCTTGGGAAATGAGGTAAAACTGGTCATGGTAGGAGATCAGCTAGATTGGTGGGTAAAGTGTAAACGACACAGAATCTTGCATGTTGTCCAAATGGGTTTGGGCTTTAGCACATAGGTCATTAGTTTTCAAACTCTATTCCATAGAACCAAGGATCTGAGAAAAAGTCTTAAGAATTATGCAATTGTTTGCTTTGACTTTCTATTAAAAAAATAAATAGATCTCAAATGCACACTCAAACTAAATGTTACATATTAATTCTTTTAAAAGTGGAGACCAGCAACCAAGTAATTTGTGCTGACAGATTCATTCATTTGTATTTGGATCATGCTATCTTTTTAAAGGAACAATATCCTGAGTTTAAAATGTGAGTTGTTGGGGAAAACCCCCCAAAATATTGCCATTGGTAGCTACCTATTGCTATGAATCTAATTTTTTTGGATGTGTGCAATAAAATTAAATACAGAAATAAATAGCAACATGATGCAGATCTAATTGTACTCCTAATGATTTAAAAATGTTTTATTTCACCAAAACTACCTATTTCTTATTAATCAGTTTCTAAGTTATACATTTAAAATTTATAAAGTAAATTATTATCAATAAAATGCAGCTCATGTCTCTGTTGTAGATATTATGATCTTATATGATATTTATTTGTAAATAATATTTTTTTTTTGCTACAAAATGCTACCACTGCTATGGGTAGTGGTTTACCATGGGCTGATCTTTTCTTTCATCTTTTTTTTTTTAGATTTCTAGGTTTAAATCCTTTTTTAAAATTATTGTTATGAGAGAGAGAGAGAGATATCGACATGAGAGAGAAACATCAATTGGTTGCCTTCTGCATGTGCCCCGACTGGGGATCAAACCCGAAACCTGGGTATGTGCCCTGACCAGGAATCCAACTCACCACTTTTTGGTGTACAGGATGACATTCCAGCCAACTGAGCTACACAGGCCAGGGCTGGCTGATCTTTTTAAGTGTGGAGCAATCTGATCATGTTTACGTTTGCAAAAGACAGCAGACCTGTTTATACGACAGAGGGTTGGAGGCAGAAGGGGACGAAGGCGGGGAGATGAATTTGAGACTCTGGCTAAGGTTCAAGTAAAAGTCTTGACTAAAGGCACTTGGAGCATTAAAATATACAGACACCAAGGCTAATTGGTGTGAGGGAGAGAGAGGAAGGAGTCAAGGTTGACCCCGGATTTCTGGCTTGGGCAACCTGTTTGATTTTTGTTAGTATAGGGAGTACAGGTGGAGGAGTAGGGTGCAGGTAGGGGAGGGAAGGTGGGAAGTCTAGTTCAGACGTGTTAAGTTGGAGATACTCATGGGACAACCAAATACAGTGGAATCATACTTTAAGTGCATTAACTTGAGCAAATTCAACCATGCAGGCTGGGCCAGGACACGGATGGAATAAGAACTCCATGTTGCCTTCTGAAGGGAATTTCAAGGGAAACTGTGACTATACCTGTCTCTTTGGCTTATGTGCTGACTTTAGAATTTCACCCTCACCCCACTGTCACTGGTCTGAAGCTGGAGGTATCGGAGGGGAGCTGGGAAGGGGTTTCTGAGGCAGTGACGTGGGAATCTCAGTGGTAGTTCAGCAGATGAACTGGGACGAGAAAGTGCCCCCATTACAAGCAAAGCCCTGGAGGTGCTAGTATTTAAGAGCAAGACAAAGAAATAGAATAGAATTAGAGATGTGGGAAGAATGGTCAGAGAGGAAGAAAAGAGACCAGAAATGCTGGGTTTCACGGAAGACAGGGGAGGAGAGACGCATCAAAGGTCAGAGGCTGGAAGTAAGTGGGGGACAGAGAAGACACCTCAGCCCCAGAAGACTGTGGGTTTTCTACTGGCGACGGAGCTGCCCTGCCTAGATGGTGCCATCACCACCATCTTAGGCTAGAGGCAGGAAACAACCCTGAAGCTCATCTCTGCCACTCTCTTCTCCCAAGACTCAACTCCTCTCCAGAGTGGCCTGCTTTTGCTTCCTCTCGGGTGCCCTCCAGTAGTTGCTTTTTTTGTTTTTGTTTTTGTTTTTTTGTCCAGAGTTCATAGCTGTCATCCCCGGAAAGGTCGGTTTGGGAGAAGGTCCCTTAGTTATACAACCATCAATGAAGAAACTTTGATTCTCATAGTAAACGTGTTCGGTGGCTCACACACATTGAAGACTATTTTCTTTCATCCTCAGGGTTGACTATCAGTTTAAAATATACTTTAATGTATCTCAGTGTTTCGAGGCCTCTGAGCAGAAGAGGGATGTTATTAAAACAGTGCTTTAGGTGGGTTATCATTTATTTATTTATTACATTTTTACATTGTTTTTGTACCGCTTTATTGAAATGCATAATTCACATAGCATTCAATAGCTTTTTAGTGTCTTCAGAGATTAGTGCGTGTCACCAGTCAATTTGGGAACATTTTCATTATCTCAGAAAGGAGCTCTACGCCCTTCAGCTGTTATCCAGCCCCACCCCCCACGTCTTCCCTCGGCCCATCATGTTCTCCTTGCTGGCGCTGCGGATCCCCCCACCCCCCGCTGGACACTGCGTGTGGCCACAGGAGGTCTTTGTGTGACTGGCGTCTTCTGCTTGGCACAACGGCTTTAAGGCTCATCCCTGTCACAGCATGTATCATTCCTTTTAATGGCCAAATGCTATTCTAGTATGTAGATATACCACATTTTGTTTATCAATTTATCAACTGATGGACACTGGAGTTGTCTCTAGCTTTTAGCTATTTTGAATCGCGCTGCTGTGAACATGCCTGTATGTTTCTGTGTGGACACGTGTTTGTGTCTTGGGTTTATACCTGGTAGTAGAATTTTTTTCACTTATGTATGGAATTAGGAGGTGTACCAACTTGTAGCCACTCAAATTTTTTTTAAAAATTTTAAATTACAATTGGTGGACAATATTATGTTAGTTTCAGGTGAGCTGGGACCTTGATGTGGTCGTGGGAGGATGCCAGGACCCTGTCTTCCTGCTCTGCCACCTTGACTGGAAGAAGTTAAAATCTGTAACCGTTTTTAAGTGTTATTTTGGCTTATATATATAGGTAACCTTTAGACAGTGCTCCAGACATATTCTTCAAAAGTATTCTTTAGTCATGCACTTGGTTTGATACAGAGATGTCGAAATAATATCTGACCAAGTAAACATTTCCTATTTTATAATGGATATGTTTATTGTTGTAATGAGCAGTCGAATCACTTTATATCTTTGTTTTAAAAACCTCATTAAATTCTGCTTATTTAAGAAAAACCTTCTGTTTGGTTGGAGTTTACAAGTCCCTGCTCTTTCAAAGTTCCGTAGTTATTTCGGGGTCCACAGGTTGCCAAGGGATACTGGAGAGCCCGCTGTGTACCAAAGGAGCTCCAGCCTGAACAGTCAGAGAGAGAATGGTGAGAGGGTTATTGATTGGGAAGAGGTAATAAAAGCCCCGAGCTAACAAACACAGATGCACTGTGTGTCTTTAATTTTGTCTGTTTGGGCTTCTGTCATGTATAAAGTCAAGATGGTGAAACGGTTTCTGAAGATGAAAGAGCAGTGATTTTAGCAGCAGGCTAGGGAAGGGAGCGGGAGCAAATTGTTTCTCACCCCAACCCCTAAGCGGAAGCTGGAGCTACACACATTGAGATCAGTTTTGTGTTTCTAAAACCCGCAGATAGTGCGAGCTGCCCACACCATTCCCAAAGATTTGGATTCCAAAATAAGGATTCAAGTTTTTCAAAGAAATTAGAGTGAAAAAGCTGCAATATTATACCTAGGTTTTATTTCTAAAGTTATAGTCTAATACTGAAGGGCCATATGGCATAGGAGAAAGAACTTACAACTTGTCACAAAAAGGTCTGAGCACTTATTTTCCCATAAGTGTGACCAGGTAACATACATTACCTTCTCTGGGAAAGGGGACTACAATTCTTATTTGTTTCTCAAAATTGTTATGGAAGTCAAATGAAATAAAATTTGTCAGTGTTTTTATAAATGACAAAATTTATTATGAAAGTAAAGAATTGGTTTTGGCTTATAAATATTATTATTAAATCAGATAATTATTTTAATCAATAGTTTTATTTTACTTAGAATAGACTAAAATGTGTGTATCTTATTTCTATCCCTAAGAATTAAAACCTCATACTATGACCCATTGTCAGAGTAATCCTATAATCCACAATCCCATAAACCAAGCCATTGCACAGTATATTTTAATGTCAAAGTAGCTAGAAAGGAATACAGTTGTCTGACTCTTGGATTTGCAATGTGATGACACGTTTTGTAGGACTTTATGCTGAGTCCTGAGAACTACTTTCAGAGGTTAATTCATTTCTTGTAAGAACTAAACCAGCAGCAGGCCCCACTGCCATCACGTGACCAGAGTCAGCCTTTGCCATGGAGCACTTTATCAGACACTGAACATACTTCCTAAATTACTGTTATATTTACTATATTATATTATACTGTATTATATTAATTACATTATACTAGC